TCATCATCTTAATGGCTCGCTGGCGTTACTTCACAAACCACTCCTCCTGGCAAAGTGCCAGGACCCATCTTGACTTGATTGGTTCTCAACAATAAAGGAAGAAGGAAAGTACTGGCAATTATGGTGTGAAGAAGAGTCCTTTTGGGCTGTAGATGTAGTTCAGTGGTAGAGTATGCACAAGGCCATGGGGTTGGATCCTCAGTTACCAAACAAACAAACTAACCTGTCAAGTGATGTTTGGTAGTTGAATACTACTTGCTGAAAACTGTTACTATAGCAACAAGACAACCCCAATCTTAACATGGGATAAGGACTTGAATAGCCATTTCTCCAGAGCTATACAGGTGGCTAATAAGCACAAGAAAAATGTTTGACAGCTTTAGTCATTAGGGAATGCGAATCCCAACCACAGTGAGGTACCTCTTTATACCCACTAGTATGGCTGTAATTATAGAAAGAAAGAAAGAGAGAGAGAGAGAGAGAAAGAAAGAAAAAGAAAGAAGGAGGGGAGGGGAGGGGAGGGGATATTATGAAAGCTATGTACCTTCTCTCCCAGAAAGATAGCACTCATCATTCTACATGTAATTGCAAAGCGTTCATGGAACACTTTAAGCCCAAAGACCACAAAAGAAAAGGTAGTGTTAGGTTCCAAATAGATGAGAGATTCACCAATAAGCACTATATATATATACACTCACACATTTATTTTTATTTTATTTTTATTTTTTATTTTTGAGAGAGAGAGAGAATTTTTTAATATTTTTCAGTTTTTGGTGGACACAACATCTTTATTTTATTTTTATGTGGTGCTGAGGATCAAACCCAGCGCCCTGCGCATGCAGGCAAGCACATTACCGCTTGAGCTACATCCTCAGCCCAATGTATACATTTAAAAAAATTTTTTTTAATTGTCAATGGACTTTATTTATTTATATGTGGTGCTGAGAATTGAACCCAGTGTCTGACACATTCTAGGCAAGTGCTCTACTACTGAGCCATAACCCCAGTCCAAGCATAATATATATTTGTTAACAAGCAATGAAAGAACATTTTCTAAGATTCTGTTTTGTGTTTTTAATTATTAGAATCTAAAAGGAGTTTTTACCAAATTCTTCTAAAAACTTGTAGACTACTGAACAAATAGATTAAAATATTTATAGAAGTAACTACTTGCCATGCAGGTTATTGTCAGTGACTAGCCATAATGTAAGTTTTGCATGTAAGCATAGTCTTGCTTTAGAGGAAGGCCAGTTAGAGGCTCAGGCAGGACATGGAGGGGGTCACCATGATTGGTTTATTCAGCTTTGCAGATTCAGAAACAATTTTATCAATGCCCCAGAATTAAACAGGCCCAAGGTGGACCAACTCTTCTAGGACCTTGTCTACCAGATGTTGATGTTAGTTCATATGGGGGACAGACTTTTCCTGTGACTGAAACACTGATGGCTGTAATTGTGTAATTTTATTTCAAAGTGTACTTTTTGTAGTTATTGATTTGTTTTGGGGTCAGATACATTTATTGTTAATTTAAGCTTTGTAATTACATATGTAAACTGTTTCTTGGTGTCAGAATACTTTAGAAAAGATCAGGTGACCTGTCAGACTCAGTGAGTGACATCAGTAGGATGCACCTCTGATCTTCTGAATCCATTATTGGGCTTTTAAGATTTTATTTTTTAGTTGTGGTTGGACACAATACTTTTATTTTATTTTATTTTAAATATTTATTTTTTAGTTGTAGTTGGACACAATACCTTTATTTTTTTATGTGGTGCTGAGGATCGAACCCAGGGTGTGCACATGCTAGGTGAGTGCTCTACCACTGAGCCACAACCCCAGCCCAATACCTTTATTTATTTATTTTTATGTGGTGCTGAGGATTGAACCCAGGGCCTCACACGTGCTAAGCAGGTGCTCTACTGCTGAGCCACATCTCCAGCCCCATAATTCTCTGTTTTTTTTTTTAGTAGGGACTGCTTTATGGTTTTTTTTTTAAATACCTTTATTTTATTTTATTTTTTTAGTTGTAGTAGGACACAGTACCTTTATTTTATTTATTTATTTTTATGTGGTGCTGAGGATCAAACCTAGTTCGTCACACATGCTAGGTGAGTGCTCTACTGCTGAGCCCCAACCCTAGACCCCTTGTTTTATTTGTTTTTATGTGGTGCTGAGGATTTAACCCAGTGCCTCACATGTATGAGGTAAACACTATTTGAGTGTACTCTGTGAGCCAGAATCCCGCACCCCGCCCCTCCACACCCCTCCCCCCGCTTTTATTTTATTTTATTTTATTTTTTTTGCATTGATGGATTTGAGCCTGGGCCTCATGCATGCCAAGCAATTACTCTGCTGAGCCCACTGAGCTATACCCTATACCTAGGGACTACTTATAAGTCTGTTATATCCATATAGCACTTTGTGTTTTTTTTTTTTTTAATATTTATTTATTTATTTTTTTAGACAACATCTTTGTATGTGGTGCTGAGGATCGAACCCGGGCCGCACGCATGCCAGGCGAGCGCGCTACCGCTTAAGCCACATCCCCAGCACTTTGTGTTTGTTATAAATTGATGTATATGCCCATCACTCTCTGGTTCAGGAACTTCCTGAAAGTAGGGGTTATGTCTTATACTGTTATGTATAAAATTCAGCTAGGACATGTTAAGTATCTACTATATGCCAGGAACTTATAGAACTTAAATTTAATGGTAAGTAAATATTCATTGAATTTTAATTTTTTCAGTGTGTCCAGAGTGTATATGCCAGTAAGATCATAAGCAGTGATCGAGATCTCTTGGCAGTGGTATTCTATGGTACCAAGAAAGACAAAAATTCAGTGAATTTCAAAAATATTTACGTCTTACAAGAGTTGGATAATCCAGGTCAGTAATGTTCTAAGCTCAGTGTTTCCCTTACGTGAGAATGTCACTACCCTGAACAAAGAGGGGTATGAAGGAGGAAGCAGGTTCCATCTTGTTAAGGAGTCTGCTTTCCTACAAGCGGTCTTTGTGGTAAACAGCTGTGGAGTGAGAAAGGAACCCTGGCCCTTCTGTTACCCTGTGGTGAAGGTGGCCACTGACTCTTCTGGTTTTTCTGTCCATTTGATTCTTTGATTTAATCAGGTGCAAAACGAATGCTGGAACTTGACCAGTTTAAGGGGCAGCAGGGAAAAAAACATTTTCAAGATCTAATTGGCCATGGATCTGACTACTCATTGAGTGAAGTGCTGTGGGTCTGTGCCAACCTCTTTAGCAATGTCCAGTTCAAGATGAGTCATAAGAGGATCATGCTGTTCACCAATGAAGATGACCCCCATGGCAATGACAGTGCCAAAGCCAGCCGGGCCAGGACCAAAGCTGGCGATCTCCGTGACACAGGTGGGCGTTTTTCTTATTCTTTTAAATTGGCACTTAATTTTATTGCTTTCTTTATAGCTGATCTCAAGCATTTGCTTTTCACCATCCAGAGTCAAATGAAAGAATAATATGAAGCCAGGGGAAGACACCTGTGAAACATTAACACTGAAAATGGCCAATCTCAGCTGTTCTAGTTCTACAGGCTGAGGTGGGAGGATCACTTGAGCACATGAGTATGAGGCCAGTCTGATCAACATAGTGGACCCAGTCTCAAAAAAAAGAATAAAGAAAATGACCTTACTACACTGTCTGAAGGACTTTAGAGCCCTTGAGCTTGCCACCAGAGCAAGCTTATCTTGACTTTTTTTTTTTTAACTGAGATTTGAACCCAGGTGTGTTCTACCACTGAGTTACATCTCTAGCCCTTAATTTTTATTTCTTTTGAGGCAGAGTCTTGCTAGGTTGCCATGGATGTCTTCAAACTTGAAATTCTTGTGGCTCAGCCTCCTGAGTGGCTGGGATTACAGGCTTGGGCCACCATATCCTGCACTTGTCTTGATTTTAACACTACCTTGAATGAGGTTATTTGAATAAGTTGTCTCAAGTAAATATAACAGCTAATTTATTTAGCCACTTTCTCTCTAATTCCTGAAATTGTTAAAATCAATCTAATTTGGTGGGGGGCGCTTTTAAAAGCGTTTGAATTTAACTGAAAAGAATCTTCAAGTTGGACATGGTGGTGCATGCCTATAGTCCTAGCTACTCAAAAGGGTGAGGCAGAAGATTGCTTGAGTTCTTGAATCTGGGGCCAGCCTGGGCAACATAGTGAGATCCCCTTCTCTTTTTAAAAAAAAAAAAAAAAAAATTCAAATTTTCTAAATTCTTTTTTCTTCCTCATTTTTGTCTGTGTACCAGGAATCTTCCTTGACTTGATGCACCTGAAGAAACATGGGGGCTTTGATATATCCTTGTTCTACAGAGATATCATCAGCATAGCAGAGGATGAGGATCTCGGGGTTCACTTTGAGGAATCAAGCAAGTTGGAAGACCTATTGAGGAAAGTTCGTGCCAAGGAGACCAAGAAGCGAGTGCTGTCCAGGTGAGCACTAAGCCAGGGTTGCTGCCCCCAGGTCCCCAAGCAAATCACCAGTAATGTTTTGCTTTGACATCCCTGGGCTGTGCTATTGTCTTGCTGTGTTTCTTCAGAATATCAGCTTCATGAAGGATAGCACTGTCTGATTGCTTCTCCAGAAGAGCACAGTCCTCCATTTCCTTGTGGCCTAAGTGAATCCTCAGCTGTACTCACTAATACACTCTTTGCTTTCTTCTGTGTTGGTGATGATAGTAACACCCAACTCATTAGATTATTTTGAGGAATAAATGGAAAACAAAATGTATCAAACAGTTTATATGGAGCAAAACCTCAATAAATGTTTGTTATCATCATTGTTAAAAGTGTATATTCTAGAGGCTGAGGCAGGAATATCCCAAGTTTGAGGCCAGCCTCAGCAATATAGCAAGACCTTATCTTAAAACAAAAAAAAAAATAAAAAAGAGGCTAGAGTTGTGGCTCAGCGGTAGAGTACTCACCTAGCACATGCAAGGCACTGGGTTCAATCCTCAGCACCACATAAAAATAAATAAAATAAAGATATGGTGTCCAACTACAACTGAAAAAAAATCATTAAAAAAATAAAAAGGACTGAGGATGTAGCTCAGTGGTAAATCATCCCTTGGTTCAAACCTCAGTACCACAGACACAAACAAAAAAAATTGTCTTAATTTAGTCAGTCATGGTGGCCTATGCCTATAATCCTAACTGCTCATAGGCTGGGGCAGGAGGATCTCAAGTTTGAGGCTAGCTTAGCAAAACTCTGTCTCAAAGGAAAACATAAAAAGGGCTGGAGATGTAGCTCAGTGGTTGAGTGCTTGTCTAGCATGCACAAGGCCCTGGGTTGAATCCTCAGTACCAAAAGACAACAAAAATGTATTATTCTGATTTCTTGTAAACTTGAGTCCAATAGGAACCAGACTGTTAGATTGTCTTCTTTTGAAGAGTCTTCATATTAATGCTAAGGGCTTCTCAGTGTTTCTTCCTAAGGAGAATGCCTCTTTTGTTTGCTTTTTTTTTTTTTTTTTGCAGTGCTGGAAATGGAACCCTATGTTAGGCAGGTGTTCTTCCACTGAAGCTACCTGCCGCTGCCCCAGGCTTCCTTTTAGACTGGCTTC